ACAAGTCCAAGCCAAGTCACATTTGCAATACCAAGCCAAAGCACAAATCATTTGGTCCAATCACAAGTCAGTTTGGTCCAAACACAAGCAAGTCACAAGTCTTTTGTCCAACTAAGTACAAGTCAAGTCACATGATGTGTGGTTTCAAGCCACAGCCAAGTGATTCAGATGTGGCCTTTTTGTTTGTTTTTAAGAAGGGACAAATGTGTGCCCAATGTAGATTATATTCAGCACTGAAGGACAAATCTCCTTGGGCAATACCAGTATCCAAGGACTGCCCTGTTGGCACTCTGTGCGGACTTGTGTGTATTCTTTGATCCTGAACGACGTTTTTTTAAATACCGATCTAGCCCATGACAGTCAAATTAAGGATCAGACAGTAAAATTTCTAACAATTTGTAGCACCGTACACGTATATGCACTTTCACGGTGTGTGCATGAACTTCATTAAGTAAATGGATTCATTCTACGTTACCCGTCCAGAAGTGCCTCTTCTCACACACGTGGCTGCGAAACCAAACTGATTTTTCTGGTTCTGATGAAATGCCCACATAGAGTACTTTTGCTTCAGTTCTAACCCAGGATTTTTTTTTTTTGTCTCTCGCAGATGTTCTCGAAACACAGAAACAGCCAGTGCTGAGCTAGTACATCCGATTCTTCCCGTCCGTGTTACCATGCCAACTCAGGACAGTAACTCTTCAGTGCTGCCCCACCCCTAAAATGCCCTCTTTGAGCCCCACCCCTACAGAGCCGGTGAGGTCGTTTTGCTATTTTTCTACGCCTTGAGAAACTGGGGAGGAGGGGTTGCTGACGTTTCCTTCTTTCTGTGTCTTAAGTGCCGTCCCGGACCTCTTTTTTTTTTTTTTTCATCTGAAGAAATGTTAATGTAATGGGAAGGCTTCATTTGAGGAAAGGTTCTCTTCCAACTTGAGTTTATCTCAAGAGAACATCCACTTGCATGACTTTGTGCATAGACAAAACATTTCTCTGTAGCTTTAAGGAATGACTGGATTGGAGAACAGTGCGGGAGTGATTACAGGCCCGCATTTTAAAACAGTCTTCTTGGACAATATTAATCTAAGACATTCGCAACACAAAAGGTCTGCCACCAAGGTCAAAATTCCCACGTCACGATCAAGACCATCACTGGGGAGCGTAAACTTTGTGAAAGTGCGGTGAAGGTCTAGATTTTAAATGAGTTGGTTAAATACTACTCAAAGCTCCCTCCAAAACCCAGATGGAATCCCTGACCATAATATCACGAATACTGCTGTCCAACCTGGGCTAAACTATGTAAATTCTTCAACTATGGGTTCCCCTGACATGTAGCCCCCCCACTTGTTTGGACTTGTAAAATATATGTACCAGCATTGTAATACCAAAAAGTACAGTCATTTGCAAAAGTTTAGGACCACCCATACAAAATGCATTAATCTAAAGGAAAAAACCAAACTGAAACCAATCAATCATGGCAACTTCCGTGTATGTGCGCATTTGCAGTGTTCAACCTAGTATCTTGGTTAACTAGCTACATGCATTTGACTACATTTCCATGGTTTGAAATGATAACAGCCTAATATTTAGTGCGCCCTCCTTTATTTCGGATTACTTAGACTGGCTTTTTTTTTTACCCATGCTGCCTTGCAGACAAACTGTCATACAAGACCTGCCTTTGCAAAAAGTTTCATTCCAATGGGTATATAGCACTACGCTGATATTATGCACCACTGTAAAAACATGTGATGTAATCATTCAATGAGACAATGTAATGCAGGCCTTGACAGAGATACTGGTTCCATGTGGTCTTAAACTTTTGCAAATGACCGTATGTAGATATGGACATGTACTTGTGCATGTTTTTAGCCTGAGTTGCGAGTTTGGAGTCACAATGACCTTTGACATTCATGTCAACAGTATTTGTATACGAATTCTTTTATTTACATATTTTGGGTGAGTTGATTGGTTGAGAATACTAGGACATGTGTAAATATTCCATAATTTATTATGGTCTTGCAAAGCCTTGAGAAAAAAAAGTTAGATTTGTATTCTCTGATGATGAAGGGAAAGAGTCCTATTGATAAAACAGTCACCTTATAAAAACATTCATCTCAATCAAGAAGGTACCAATTTCTACACGTGATTTCATCCATGATGTGTCCCTTGAAAGCCTGTAATCAGGTTACTTGCCAAGTTAACGTAGCAGACGTTGAATCAATCAGATCGGCTATGGTAGAAATAATTGGGGGAGTTGGAGGGGATCACCGAAAGTCACTGGAAGGTAGAAAATGATTTTGTGTTGGTTTGAATTTGTAGCTCATGTCCCCTCTGCTGTTTTGCCCGGGGGTGTGCAGGTGCTTACCACCTGGCAGGAAAATTGGCCTCGAGTTGTCTGCCTTGCTGCCAGCCCTGAGACGTCTAGTGCTCAGTAACTGATTGTGCCTAGTGTGGTCCTTCGCGACTTAATGTTATTAGGCCAGCACACTTGCCCGCGCTAGCATCTTGGAAACCAATATGTGCCCGTAGCAGGAAAAGTTTCACTTTTTCTTTACTTTCTCCCAGGGTTTTCCTCGGACACGTACATGTAGCAATCGCAAAATGGTTTATTTTCAGCCGCATGATGGATATGTGTGCACTACATGTACTTAAAGAATCCGGCTGTGAAGCGTGGTGATAATCAAGCAGGCTAATTTGATATGCCAGATTGTGATGCCTCTTCTGGGCCATCGTACCATCTGCAATGTTGCAGCCTTGAATCTTGCAAGTTAACAGCAGCCTTTGAAAAACACTGTAAGGCTGCTTTCACAATGTGACACACTTTCTCATTGTACATGTAAGTTTCTCAAATCACACTCTTCATACCAGATACATGTAGATTCATGTACATTTACACTGTGTGTATGTGCACCCATGTCTATTTTACATACAAAGTGTGGACATGCCGTTGTTCTCCTGTGGTTTTGGGAAAATGCTCCTTTTTCTCCAACTAGGATATCTCCTTCCAGCTGGATTTTTGATGATTTCCTGGGCTGTTCCTCTTCATTTTGCCACGATAACCTTGACCCCTAAACTGAAACTGTTTTTCAGAGAGGGGAAAACATTGCGTGGACGTGTGCGAGTCCACACAGCGCCATCACACCCTGCATTATGTGGACTTCTTTTGTGCAGAGGTCCACACTACATGTATCTATAACACGCCTGCACAAGTGCACATCAGGACTTTTTTGGTCACGTTTGCACTTTTTATTTTGCGTTTCTGGCTTTTTTTTTTCAGCGATGCGATTTTTCCCCGACCTGCATTTTGCTTTTCAAAATCTGAATCTGCATGAACGGACGAAATGCGTGCCATGGCAACAGAGGGTTGTGAACGATTTTTTCCTGTGTCTACTGATGTTGGGAAATGGTGGTTTGAGAAGTTAGTTGAAGAGAGACGGTTGGTATTTTAGGGGCTGAGCTGTGGTTTTATGGATGGTTCTATTCCTATAGTACTGAAAAAAAGCGATTGAAAAAAAAAACGGTTGTGCACTGGAACCGTTTCTGTTAAATTTGTAATGTACATCATCATAAATGGCAGAGTTAAGTGCAAAACATGATTACTGGTACTTTTTTTTTTCAAAATGGCAATTTTCATCCAAGAATGAAATCATGGAATTTTTTTTGTGCCGACAAAGATTGTATTTAAGAATCCCTAGCTGTTTCTGAGGTTAGGATGTGCATAAGGCTGACAAATTTGTAAACGCAAAGTGTACGTTAGCAGAACAATCAAAGTTAAAGATATCAAAAACGGCCGTACAGTAGAGTTTACCAGTAGAAATGCTTTGAAGAAGTTGGCCAGAGATTAGACCAAATTTGGAGGCATTTGGGGAGTAATAACTCCTTTCGGTTGTGTGTGTATTTTTTTTCTTTTTGTTTTTTTTCTCTTTTTTTTGCCATCTGTACATTCAGGACGTGCAATCATGCTTAAATAGAAATGATTTATTTTCAATTACGTATACATTATTTTGTATATATATGGGTTAGGTTAAAATTAAGAAAAGGCACTGGAAACAGATATATAAATTCTTTTATTGTGTGAATAAATTTCAGTAGACTACAATATTCTTTGGTTTATAGAAAGTTTGTGATTTCACTTGAGCTACACTTAACACGTGTTCCCCTTTACACGACAGAGGTTTTACCCTCAAAGACATTCCTGGATATCAGTGGTTTCATTCTACTGTTGGGCATCTGGATGGAAAATACCTACAAGAATGTTCACACCACTACAGGTAGTCTTAGCGATGAGCGTGTTACAATAGAAAACACAATGTGATATAAGGAACGAAAAGGGGACCTTTCCATGGACTCACCCTCCAAAGTTTACAAAGAATTGGTTTGAGGCTTACTGTGTGTATGCATATTTTCTCCCTTGGAAATTAATTTCCCTGCCGTCCAATTCATTTATTTACTTTTTTCTTTGGCAGGTAGCCCCTAAGATTGTATAGCGGCGCAAGATAGATAACTTCACCGTGAATACGCATAAAACCTTGTTATTGCCGGGACGCCATTTGGGTGTGAATACGCTATGTTAACGAGACAGGCGCAGGTGCATTAACGTTCACACTCAAATGGCGCCCATGGTGACAACACTTTTTTGGCTGAGTTCTCCATCTTGCGCCAATCTGTGGCGCCATGCAATCTTTAGTATCGCTCGATCTTTGGGGGTCGGCACATGTGTTGCTTGATATGATCGAACTTTGTTCAAGTCCAAGAAGTACATGAACATGTGTACTGTGGCACATGAACACGTACATGTAGTTTATCATAGAACAGTGTTAAGTAAGCAGGTCTGCATACATATACATTATGATATGCAAGTCTGAAGAGGTTGATAGCAATAGCATGGATTGATGGGCACTTGGCTGTTGGGTATTGGGTGGAAACCGAGTATTTGGACAAAGATAAATTGTATGCTGGAAATGCATGTTTGCAAACTTTGAACCGGAGTTAGAGTCCTGCAGGAACTCTATACATGTACATTCCAACAAGTTTGCACATACCTTGGTTTGTATTGTGTCTGAGGGACGATAAATTCCTTTCTGTTTGGAAATTCTGTAGCAGATCTTGGGGAGTTTGCTGTGTTCCTGCGTCATGTTTTCGTCTGCCGTGGTGTTGTCCTCACAGCAGCATTGTCACACACCTTGTCACAGCACACGTACAATACCATGCTTGAAGTGCTATCTTAGCCTAGCCCATTTCATAGTGCCGCTTACTGGCCAATGTTATGCTCTATCTGAGACCTCGGTCCGTATCACAAAGACCATTGAGCATTTAAGCACGGCGAAAAGCAAGCTTGGCCTCAGAGGAAATGCTTGCTCAAGTCAGTGGCTTACCATGCATGAAGAGAAGAGGAGAATTGTCTGGGTGGATGCAACCCTCCATGCTTTTAGGTGCAGTCTGTCATTTGTGCATAATCTGATAATATTCCTTTCAGGCAACAAACGAGTTCAGAATCTAAAGAAGGATAACCCCACCGCTAACCTGATGAAGACCAAGCATAGTGTACGTACGCTTTGTATTCTTAAGAGAAAAAATATTCTTGGATCTCGATTTGACTGCAAATCAAAATCTAGAGTCTTGTTTGAATTGTGCCTAATTTTTGCATCTGGGACACGTTCTCATTCAGCCAGTTTCCAAACAGGCTGCTTTAGAAAACGGCCCTTCATTGCGGTCTTCCAAATGACAGCTCGCCAAACAGAATAATTTCACGGGGAGCATAGTCCCCCATAGTCATGATGTTGCCAGGTACTCTTTGAATAACTGCAAATGATGGACGTACATGTACCTTGAAGTGGAATTGTTTTCTGTTTATAGTAAGCACAACTGTCGTGCCAACATCTTTACAGCAGGATGAAATTAGCCAGTGTTCCCAGACTAAAATACATGTACTGTATGTATCGGTAAGAATGTATGCCTTTTCGCACACAAGGGAACACAAGAAAATCTCTGGTCAGACGTAAAGCATACATGCACATGTACATGTTGGGCCCGCTGGCAAATGAAATGTAGTTGATTTTTTTTCTTAATGCTTTGATAGTGTCATGTACAATGTACATGGGGTGGTTACTGTCTTTTTTTTTTAATGGGACAATAAAGTGCTGTTAATTAAATCTGTGAATGTGCTGAGCACATCAGTAGTCAAACTGTTTATTTCACCCTGCTATAATGCAAAATCAAGGAAGTTTAACAACTGAAGTGTCAAAAGACTGAAATATATAACAGCTCAACACTTACAAAGTCGTGATCACAGTATGAACATATCTGCATAACTCTACCAAGTCCAACATATACATGCATTAAGTTATGCGTACAATTCCTCCTCGATATATTCAACATTTCAAAACACCAGATTTTAAGAAAGACTGTTTGAAACAATCACGAAATCATAAAAATACTGATGAATAAAATCCTAAAATCAGGAAAAATCCTCACAAAATGTCACCCCCGTAACTTGATTAGAAATGCTCAAACTCCTTAAACAAGAATCAAATTTGAAGTTTTCAACAATTACAACATGTCCAAAAGCAAACAATTGCAGAAAATTAAAGGCATGGTTCAGAAAGCATCTCACAATAGAACACTCGGAAAATGTATCAACCTTTTCAAAATTTTGGAACAATTTATAAGACTTCTTGAAATTTGTAACTAGCCGCGAATGTCTTCAGAAAGTATGGATTTTGTACTACTTTCGATACTTTGGCACAAGTTCAACTGATATGGATGAGGAAAAATGTGATAAACAATTTCCATCTGCCAAAACTGTAAGTCACTACATAAAGTTTCACATGTAAGCTGGGGAAATTGGAAACCATAATCATCTTATGTTCTTCAGGTCTTAACGCTCTGGGGATTAAAAGTCTTCGTAATCGCTATGCAGACAGCCGGTCCAAACAACGTCTGTGAACACTGGCAAACGCTCCACACTCGGATATCACTCTCTGTAATACAGACTGGAAATACTGGTGACAGGAATCACGGTTCTATTGCCCATTTCACTTTTGTTTGACTTCCGATATTCCTAGTGTGGTTTGTGCTGGTACATGTATGTGAGGCCAGGTGGTTTTCTGCAAATCTAAAGAATTTTCAATATTCACCACAACCCTAACTCCACCTACTCCAGCCCAAATCTTAACTTACGTGAGGCCAGTGGTTTTCTGCAAATCTAAGAATTTTCAATATTCACCACAACCCTT